CTTATGGTTTAATTGGTCATGCCAAATGGTACATTTTTATTTTGGGATTTTCAATTTTTGCCGAGTCGCTAGAGTTAATCCACAAAATATCTAGTAGAATGCTACATAGTCAAACTGCTCTACTAAAACAACATTAGCATTTGGAAAATTTTGTTTGAAAAATAATTGGATTTTACGGAGCAATGACAAAAACAGATAGCGTGACCAACATATAAATGTAAAGTTGTGGAAATATCCTTTGCAATGATTTTAACATTTTGCAAAAGTGTAGAATAAATTTCCAGATTGGTGCTCGAAATACACAAATGCAGCACACTTTTGTGCCAGTTCCAAACGAACTATACAATGCTTTAATGCTCTGGTAATTAAAGGATTTTCTTTCCTGCATTCCATTGCATGAAGCATTGAAGTGAAAATATTTAAAACTATATCATTTATAATACGCTACTGTAACTAAATTGCTCTTGGAATCTTCACTGTCTGCAATGCTGTTTCCATCAACAACTACAAAACGGTCTGTTTGTTCCGCAGCCCCACCGCATGTAATTGTGCTTGGGGAACTCAAACAACGTTTAAATGTTCTACAAATCGACCCATTTGCCGCGTGTTCCACCGCCAGTGGCTTCTTTCTGATTGGAGAAGAGGATTCAGCAGACTACGACAATGACGCAGTGCATGACGATAATTGTTTTCCACCCGGCACGACGCGACGCTGAGTCCCTGATCCCGAGCAGACACTGCGTACGGTAGCTGTTGATGAGTTTTGATTTGTTCTACTTGTTCCATAAATAGGCCTGAAATGGGTGCTGCAGCAGCGATGAGGAGCTACTGTTTGTGTAAAGTCATTGAAGAGCATTACATATACAAATCATAGTGGCAAAGTAACTGAACGAATGGGTCGTGGGTTGAAATTGCAAACTACACGCGAGCCAGGTATAATGAGGCTGTTGTTTGAAGCAAATCGAATACCTCCACCGCAAGGATTCGTGTGCGGGTGTAGGAAGTACACAAGCGCTTCCAGTGCAGCGCTTCTTTGTTTGGTATTTGCATGGAGTCGGAAAAGTGATCGAGTTGACAGAAATTACATAAAAGGGCAACTATTGCAATTGTGTGCTCTCACTGCGCTTAATGCTTTTTATATATGTATGTATTTTCGCGAGGCCACTGAACCACTGACGACAGCTAGGAGCAAACAAACTTCTCAGCGCACTTGTTTTCGACATGCAGGAAATTACTCCCGTAGCAATTGTGAAGTTGCGCAACGAAGTGATGCAATTCCTGGAAAGGTGAGCCGCGGTAGCCATCGCCATCGCCAGTTGCATTCACTCCGAGCGCACCACAAAAATGTTCTTTTCGGAAAACATTGATACTGCATTGAGTTGGGAAGGAAGGCAGCGGAGCGCAGAGGTTCTTCTAGTCAGTGGAATGCGCTGCCGTGTGCGCGGTGGCTCTTCATGGACTAAAAAGGAACCAGAACGACACAATCTGCACACGTAGATCCATTACGGGTGAACAACTCTAAACACCGTTCTGTACCTTCCCTTTGCTCGTTATAAACTGGTGCTGGAGAAGAAGAGGAAACGGAAGGCTCTCCTTAATGGTTGCAATATCCGATGTTGTTAGTGTAAACGGTTGAGTTGTTTGGGTTGTAATCATAACAATAAATTCACTGCATGTTACACATTCGTTGTGTTTTGCTGGACCTTGTTGCAGAGTCCGGATGCAATTCTTTGTTCTACTCCATACCCGATTATGAGGTCGACGAAGGCGTTTCAGGAGCGGGGAAGACAACAAACCGTTTTACCATCGTGTTCGGCGGGAAAGATTTACTTTTATTTTCAAAGAAAATTTCGTTTTTTTTTGTGGTCGTGCTGGCTCCATGGACAAGGAAAGTGCTTTTTTGCGCGACATTTTCCAGAAGTCATGAAACGGCTATAAAGATGACGATAAAATTTAGCTCTGTACATAGAGTGCCATACCTAGGCAGAGCAAAAGCGTAACGTTGGTACCAAAGGGTCAAACATCGAACAAAAGATTCTCAATCGAACAGAATAAGGCTTAGAATTGATCATCCTCGGTTGGTTGAATGGTACTCGCGAAGGTTTAGTGAAGCGAAAATGTTGCTTCGATGCTGACTTTTACTCGGTCCGGTCAATGATTTCGAGATGGATAAAACATAGAAATAGAGAGTAAAATTAGTGAGCTTGTTACCAGAAATGTCTATTTTTAAATACAATTTTGTTCGTAATGAAAGTGCATTGACGTTTCATCCTGTGCATTGCTTATCGAAATCGACGACCACCATTAAGGTGTGGCACTTTGGAAGCGATGAGCAATCGTTTGCACATATCTATAAAAGCTCTCCTAAGTGACAAAAAGTGCGAACTTTTAATCGCGATCAAGAGGGTTCGTTTTTTATTCCAAACAACTCGACTTCTTTTCCAGTAGGCTGCTCTCTGAAAGGAACTTACTGCTGCGCTCCTTCCCTGGCTGTTGTTGTTGTTGTTGTAAATGAGCAAGTTTCATAATTATTAATTACCGTCTTTTTACGCGATCTGCTATCACACGGACAGCGTTGCTATTGGATATGTTTTTTTTACCGGGATCGTGGCTCCAGGTGCTGGACTTTTGTCCAGATCGACGGAGAAGATGGCGACAGATCTTCAAAGAGGATAGTTAAAAACATCTCTATTATTATTCATTTGTTTTTTCCTCCCCGCTTTTATCTTAAATGTTTAGATGATTGTGTGCTTTTTTGGCCCCCGAGCGACGCAACAGTGTTGACGAAAAAGAATAAGAGAGCTCTGGAAGCATAATTGATTCCTCAAGTTGCCGGACAGGTGTCAAAGAGAGCAGCGGTGAAAACAAAGGCACAAATATTATGACTTTGATGCTACCGTCATCGTCGTCGTCTCCGTCGTTCAGCCCCGGAGGATAATCCTAGCCGAGGAGACACGGTCATTACATTACCATAACCCTTCGAAGATAATTACGAGAAGCAAAGCTATCAAGACTCCAAATGGTTCTCACTTGGGAAGCAGTTCCCGGTGCAATTATAGTAACACTTTATGAATAGACGCGAAGCTCGCTGTCGGGGAACTTCACTTCTAAGGCTCGGTGTATTAATAACCAATCAATAGAGTGGTGAGGTTTCGTGACGTGATCGGCGGAACCCGGCCAAGAATCCGACACGAGTAATTCTTCTGCCAATCACCATCATCATCAGCTCCGGCAACAACCTTATTTCAGTGTGAATGGAAGTGTGCTGAAACAAAGTATGGGCTTTGCAACTGCACTTCATCGTAGCAAAAAGTATCGAAAAGTGTGTATGTTTGCGGATTAATATCTTTCCCTGGCAACACGATACGAACGTGCATGTTTATTGGGTGATTGCTGGGTAATCTTGGCTCAATTCCTGCTGAAATTGACTTTGCTCCAAGTTCAGTCGTGTGGAGAGAAAGGCGCTCGCTATCGATCAAAACGATCTTTATCTCTGGGTTCTAGTCAAATCATCGTTATAAATGGTCGTCGAAGTACTTCTTGGTGTAATGCCGACTGGGATTATGCCATCAATTGCTTTGACGGTTGCCTTCGGTACCACAAGGGATCATTAAGATTTTCAACAATCAACGTGACGACGAGGTCGAGGAGATCTTCCTGTGCGTTTATTGCCGGGTATCGTAATGAGCACTTAGGCCGCTCTAGTTTAGACAGCTTGGTTCATCATCTTTGCAAGGAATAAAGCAGGGAGCATGACCCCTGTCTGGGCACTAGTGAGATGCACAACAATTACAGACACCGTTTATGAACCATTAGCAATCGGCGGTATCTTTGTCAAGTTCATTTACAAATTATTACTGAAAGAACTATTCTCACGTTATATGACTATTCTTAATGCTGGCCACTAAACTAATTATGGTAATTTCTACGAAATGTTTGGTTAACATCCAATTATTTGTCTAATACTAGTCAATTTTTCTGTTAAATATTTTACTACAACTAAGAACTAGGGCATTACCAAGAGATAGGCGGCGGGTTCAATCCCCGATCCAGTCCGGTTGGAAATTTTCCCGACTTTCTTGGACATAAATTTGCTTGCCACACAATTTACAAATTCATGCATTGGTTGGCATAGAAAGCTCTCAATTAATAACTGCGGAAGTGCTTCAAGAACGCTAATTGAGAGCCGGCAAAACGCTTGCTACAGAGGCGTAAAAAGTCTAGAAAAAAAGAGAGCTAGATCCTAATTAATAAGATATACTTTGCAGAACGATGGCGAAAGTAACCGTTTGAAAATTGCAAATCATTTTAACTATTTTTCGGATTCTTCCCTTTTTAGAACGGATTTGCTCAATCACAAGATTTGAATCAGATCTTTGCTTCTTGGTACAACAGACCAGCTGGCTGCTGTTTCACAGCACCTTGGTTGTAAACAAATCGATCTTATGGCCGATTAGAATCGCTTCTTACTGTGTTCACAAGCGCTGTAGCCATGACTTGGAGAATGCGGCAAGCCATCCGACCTTGGGCACGTGCGAATTTGGATTTCACGAGCGATTCATTGATTTATGCTCAGTCATTCGCTCACAATCTACGGAGGCCGATTGTGGGACTCTTTAGAATCGGTCCTAAATAAGACGATCAAAGTTCTACGCTTCGCTGGCTACGCGCAGAGAGCTATGGTGAAGAAATGTCTCTGGGAAAAACTAGGAATATTGATTATTGCGGTTATTTGCACAGTCATTGGATATAATATGTTTGCACCCAAGGGCGGCAAAGCGTGAAGCACTGCAACAAAACAGTAGACGACACAATATTGCTACAGTCCAATTGCATAATTGAGTGCCGCCGCCGTCGTCATTCATAGTCAACGACGGCGCGACGATGCGAGCCGGCGGATGAGACAAATAACGATAATAGTAATAATGATATCGAGCCCTAGAAGCAGTGCACACTTGCGGTGGTGGGATGTGGGTATGTATAGTGTTGTTTGTACTTACCGGCATGTGAATTCGTTTTCACCCAAACACATCTCGAGGCAGTCGCGACGATTGACGACCTGGGCGGTACGCTTGACGTGGCCATTGAGCTTGTAACCTTGCACCCTGTCGATGCACCAGGCGCGCTCACATGGACGCAGCTTTAGGCAGGACTTCTGGGCATAGATAGTGAACACCGGGAATTGAGACTTAGTCAAAGCGCCTGTAAAAAATAGAGATCGAAAATTGGTTCGTTAAATTGTGGAATAGTTTTGTTGCTCTGGAGGTATGAAGAACGACTATATCAACTCAAAATAAAAGATAGTAATGTAAATTAACCTGTAACAGTATTTAAATTTATTATTTATTGCTAAGAACATAATGTTGTACAATTTTATACCCAATAGTTTTTAACGAGTTTTTATACTTTTGGCCGCAGAGCGAAATACGTAATTGGGTCCTTCTCTACTTTTGTAGGTGTTGAATTTTGTTGATACATTTTTCAGTAGTGAACAGATTTTCAGAACTGTAACTATGTTTTGACTATAGGGTTAATTACCCCATTTCCGGCCTATTAAGCACAACCCGCACTTAGTCTTGCTTAATCTAGCGCAGTTTAGCACCAAACGGAATGTTATTATTACTGATGACTTCCAAATTTATTTGCCTTTCCGTATGTACCGCACGATTTGATAAAGAGAAACCAATCGTTGAGATATTGTCAAATGTCTAACACTGCTTCTTGATGCCAAACTTGGCCTACGGATCCTAAACTCGGCCTAACGCATTGAAACGCCATTGAAACGCCAATGAATTCACTTCGGCCTATCGGATGAAGATAAAAATTGATTCGGTCAGAGCGCTTCTTTTGTTTTTGTGAATTATGGATGCACACCTTCATATCACGCGTTCTCATTGACTTTGTTCGGTAGCTTATTAACTAAAGTATCGTACCAAACCCATAATTGACTTGTTAACTCTGAAATCATGAATTTATTTGAAGTTTTCTGCTCGATAGGCCCAAAATGGGCGATTAGGCCGAAGTAGTTCTCTACCCTATCAATAAGCAGAATTTCAGCTTATTTGTGGATCATTAGCTTCAAGAAATAACATTTTTTAATGTTCTACTGAAAATTCATGTTTAATTTTTTACACTCAACCAACATACTATTTACGATGAGTATGAAATGTATCCAAATTCTCTGCAATAAAGATATGCACACTAAGACTATTTTACCGAAATTTGTGAAATTTTACCGAAATCTCAACAGCTGAACGTTCGGTAAACAGTTCGGTGATTTTTCACAGATTTTTTGTGATTTTAAACAGGAAGACTGTGAAAAATCACCAACTGTTTACCGAACGTTCAGCTGTTGAGATTTCGGTAAAATTTAACAGATTTCGGTATAATAATCTAAGTGTGTATCCTAGCATCAACTGTAAACTAGTTATAGAAAATCAGCATTGAGTTGAAGGACAGCCGAGAAATAGCGGTGGGTGGACGGTGCTACCCACCGCATGTATGGAGGAGTTACTGTAATCATTCTCGATTGCTAACAGTCTGCTGAAGGAATGTAAATTGTTCCTAGCAAGTGAGTCAACGTTATATGGAATAATTGGTCGGAAATGCTATCTAATATGAAGCTTTAGTGTGATAATTTATACGCCAGAGAAAGGTCTGAAGAGGGTAGTCGGAAAATTGTAATCTTCACGTATGAAGTAACATAAAACCACTTTGAATGTAACAACTCAAGGCGGTAGTTATCGTCAGCAATGCTGATGATGGTACCACACGCAACAACCACTCTCTCAAATTTTGAAGGTCGTCGAACCAGCAAAAGTAAAGTAATGTAAGTAAGCAAGTGAGTATGACAGTACGTCATCTGGATGCAGACATTTTTGCTCAAGAATATGTGAAGTAGGTGGAGTAAAGGTACAGATTGAGTCTACTGAGCGTCAATTTAATGTGTTCGAATTCAATCTCATATGCTGAAACCTTATTGAAACATCCTTGGTGCTTACGCAACTTTTGTGATTAATAAAGAGAAAATCAATTAGTTGTTACATTGAGTCCCTGCTTAATATAGACATTGGATCATTGAAAATTAGTTGCATAAAGGCTATCGTGGTCGAAGTCGATAATCAACGAAGTCTACTGAGTTAAAATTGAAATTATTTAGTTTTTTTTTTCAACTATTTTTTCACTCTGGATCCAGAAAATTATCTCTGTGTTCAAATTTTATTCGAATTAATAATTTTTGTTTTTAAGAATACTAACTTTCTTAGTATTCAAAGAAAGCTGACTTGAACAATTTGCTAAACTTCATATTTATATTTGGAGTAAAATTAAACTCATTGAACATCAGATGAGTATTCTTTAAAATATCATTTTACGCGGTTTCGTCGTTTGGATGATAGATAACAGACGTATTAGCGGAAAGGTTATTCGTTTTAAAGTCGTCTATTATTTAAATTTTATGAAGTTAATAAAGTCTACAATGTTGTTAATTTCTATCACTGACTGTAGTTTATGCCCTGGTGCCTCACAGTGAGCATATCAGTATAGAAAGCTACTGATAAATAACTATTTGACATGGATTCAACAGATCTACTAGCCAATGCTTTAAGGTTGGCAAGGCTGGTAGCTAATGGCTAATTCACTATTTTCTGTCTCTAAAAAGTCACTTTTTTCATCAAAAAGTCACTTAAGTCACTATTGCTTAAAATTTAGTCACTAAAGTCACTTTTTTACGACTAATTTTTAGGTTTTTTTTTCTCTTCAAAATTGTCATAGACCAATAAAAATAATTCTGAGATTTCGAAAAAAAAAAATCCAGGCCCAGTTTTTTTCATTGGTGATCTTGAAACTTTTCAAGTCTAAGATATCAAAAAATCGTGTGGAAAAATTTCGAGCCTCATCGTATCAAATACCTGAAATTTCAAAAATCTTTAAAACCCGTTAGCTGATATTTCAAGCTGAACATTGCATTAGGTCCGAAGTAACATGGATCGATTCTCTTCGTCGACTCTCTCTTTCGTTAATAACTTGAGCACATAACCGTTTCTTGTTGTGTTTGTCGTATTAGATGCTAGATAAAAGCTTCTTTTATCGATCTATATGCTGAAAATTCCTGGGAATGTCTTTACATGGCCGTGGAGATACAAAGAGAAAGTCGACGAAGAGAATCTGTCAATGTTACTTAGGACCTAATGCAATGTTCAGCTTGATTCGTCCAAACTATCGAGAAAAAAATCATGTTACAGAATCTTAAGTTCCTTTTTAAATTGTATTGTATTTGTTTCCGGACTTGAAATCCAGAATCAAAAAATTTCCAAGTCCAGGTTTTAGGAAAAAAAGGGGTATGTGCAAGATCATGAAATGTTTTTTATGTTTCAGGAGTATTGAAATTTGCCAAGGGCTGTTAACTTACATAGGGTAAATTATGGCTCCGGCACCCATTGACTATTTTCGGAAACCTGAATTTAAATGTTAATTTTGCTGTATTTTCTCACCAATACACTTCAATGTATTCAAACAATGTATTCCTGAAAGACTGAAAGCTTCAACCTGATTTCATTTTAACGACTGAGCAACTGATTTTGAGTTGCCGATAATAGAACAGCTGATTAACACGCAGTGCAAATGAAAAAGTTGACGAATAAAAAGGGCTTGCCGGCAATAGTCACACTCACCTGAGAGGTTTGGAGGGTTGTAAAAAAAAAACAACTTGTTTTGGACTATTCTGTCGATTGGTGGATAGAATAGCAAGCAGCAGATAAATGTAAACAAACAAACTCGTCATATGTGTGCGTGACTCCGAGAAATTGCTAATAGAAGTGTGGACGCTGCTCAGATTGACGAGAATACATAAATTTCCCTATATGTTCAAAATATTAAAAAATATTTCAGACCGCACAATTTTCTCAATTTGTTTGTGTTAGAGATCTCGAATGTTCAAGTCCCAGAAATAAAGTAATGGTCCAAAATCTTTAAAATTTATCCCTAAATGCCTAATCCGTGGGGAAATTTTCCTCGTTGCAGAATAATCACATTTTTTATTAGACTGCGATCTAGAAAAAAATTCTAGATCCTAGAGTTATGAAACTTTTTCTATTGATGAGGTTTTACAGAAGTTTATATTCTTGGGAGGAATTGAGCAAATTAAAATGACGACCAGTGCGTTATAGCGAGTACAAAGAAGAGAACGATAATTTTATTCAAATCCTCATGGCTAACTTAGATCTACTAGACTGCAGCTATTCACGTTGCTAAACACATCGCTTTATCTATATCCTAGATATTTAAAATTTACTGTCCTAAAATTGTCAAAATTTGCATTCTGATTTGGACCGCGCTCTTGCTTTTACGAGAGCAAATTTATGGGATCCTTGAACTATTTGTTTTATTTTCAAGAAGCATGAAAAATGCGCGGTTTGTGAGTTCTCCAAGTGGCAATCGCAATCAACGGAAGATGGGAACCATATCTTTCCGATCAATAAATTCCACTATTGGTCACTTCGTCGTCACAATAAAAATCAGAGTGGTGCAGGCCCATTACCAATGCCGGATTTGACACCGATAACATTTCTAACTTTTCTAGGCATATCAGTGCTCTGTCAGTTACTCAATCCAGTTCGATTGTGTCTTTGATCAAACCTCATAAAGGTAGTGCAAATTTACATGCGTGAAATATGCCATCATTGGATTTATTGTCAACCACCACTTCTCAAAAATAAATTTAAATTCAATCGGATGTAATTTAGTTAATATTATGATGAATGTTTCCTTCCATCCCATGAGGGATGCTTCCCTCGAGAACATCACTCTACACCACCAAATTATAGCTAATATTTCCGATTCAAGATCATCACTCTTCCCCATCCATTATGGTCCGTTCTTCCGGGGCCTATGGCGAGGCGTGGCATATAATCCAATATTTGCATACATTGGGATTTTCTGCCACTTTCCTCCGTTTCAGTACAATCATCACCGAAAGCGAAAACTTCGTCGTTTCCTTTCCACGCGGCATTCGCTTGCATGGCTATAAGTTTCTCAGGTGTACCATCAAGTCCAATCAAATTCCCACTCTGCTGCGCGCACGACAAAACCATTTCCCATGACCGTGCACTAGTTAGTGATGATGATAGTTTCTACTGCCGTATATTTTTGTTTTTGTTATTTTATTGCCTACGGGGTTTGTCGATTGTGTTTCGGACCCGTAT